ATCTATAAATAAATAATAGTTACATATATTTATGTTTATGCACTATTTATGTATTTATATATAGAGAGTGACATACATACTAGGCAGAGAGAGACAGAGACAGAGAGAGGGACAGACAATATCATTTAGGGCTTTTGTGACTTCTGTTTCTTAGCTAAGCAGGGATCTCCAGAGGAAGTCAAACAACAGTTATCTCTGCACAATGCAATGACACACAGCTGATTGAATATCAGCAAACTTTCCCTGCTTCCCTTCACTGGTTCCTGTGCAGCAGGGTCAGTGTTTTTTCCAGTGTTGTAATCATTAAAAAGCAAAAGCAGCATGTGTATACATTCAGTGGGCTATATCTTCAGTAGCTAGCTAGCTAACACTACACTTTTCAGGGTTTGATTTTAGTTTGGGAACAGGGAAGAAACGTATATATTTTTTAACCTCTCCAGGTAACGAGTATCATTAATACACAACGTGCCCCAGGTACAACATTTAGCTCCAAATCCACAAAACCAGCCTGAAAATGAAGGAAATCTGATATAATTGACCAGTCTGCGTCTGGTGGGGTGGACTTAGCAAAGGGTCAGTTTCCTGTTGCAATTAATAAAGTACCATGCCTATCCATAATTACTTAAAGGAGCATTGTGTAGGATTTAGTGTCATCTGCTAACTACAGTGGCTGATGCGAAAACACAAATGGCCCGACCTAGAGCCAGTGTTTGGTTTGTCCATCCTGGGCTACTGTAGACAAATGGTAACATGGCAGACTCCATGGAAGAGGCACCACTCGCTTTGTAGATAAAGTCATTCTAAGGTAAAGGAAACACAATAATTCTTATTTTTGGGGTCACTTTACCCTAAAAAAAAACTTCATTTAATCTGTTGATTATTTTCTTGATTAATCGATCAGTTGTTTGGTCTTAAAAATGTCAGGAAATGTTGAAAAATGTCAATCAGTATTTCCCAAAGCCCAAGATGATGTCTTCAAATGTTTTCTTTGTTCACAACCCAAATCTACTCAGTTAACTGTCATAGAGGAGTAAGGAAACCTGAAAATATTCACATTTAAGAAGCTGGAATCAGAGAATTTTGACTTTTTTTTCTTTAAAAATTACTCAGACTGATTCATCATTTGTCTTATGTCAGCTATTAATTATCAATTTGTTGTTTAACTGTTGCAGCTCTACAGTGGTGTCCCATTTTCTTTGACCAACAACCAGGAAAACCTAAAAAGCACTCAGTGTGGAGAGAAACCCAGACAAGCAGCCAGGATAATACATTTGAGGTGCTGTAACCAACATATTGGGCAACAACAGAATTTTTCCAGTCGTTTCGCAATTCAGGTTGTTGTTTTGGTGCTCTCAGCTATGAAATCTCATAATTGAGAGCTGGCTGCAAAACAGAATTGCATTCACAAGTTTACTTCTGACTGAGAAAGTCATTCCAGGAAATCTTCAATCAATCAGTACTGTCTACTCCATCTCCATATTACTGAAATAAGCACATAATTATTACTATTATTATAGTAGTAGTAGTAGCAGTGGCAGTAACAGTAGTCGTAGTAGCAATATATATATACATATATACACCTCTACATGTACACCTGAATTAGTGGCTGCATCAAGTGAGCTCATATGACAGGACATGTGTTCTCTGTCTAAAAGTGATTCACTGAACAGATCTACTAAAGCAATATATCTCTTAATAATGACTTCACATCAATGTGTCTAATAACCCACAAATGAATGATAGTGACAACTCTCAAAGTAATTCTTGAGTCTGATTCATATGAACCTCTGTGATGAATAAGCCATTATTAATGCTGTAGAGTGCAGTGAATTTTTATTATTCCTGTTTTAAATTTCAATAGAAAAAGAAATAAAAAGGGTTGATAAGTTTTTCTGTTCTCTTTAGAAAACATTGCTGACACCGGGGCTTTAGAAAATGTAGGAACCCCTCTCAGTCTGCAGCAAGTACAAAATGTACCAGCAAAGCTTTCACTGAGGCCCTGCTACAATCTGTCTCCCCTTCTATTTTGGTTTTTGGTTAGATTCAGGAGGTGACAGTTGGCCCTGACTGTCAAGGCCCATAGACGCTGGATCACTCTGCTGGAGGAGCTGAGGCCAGCAGCATCACACCATATATTTCACATCGTTCCTCAACAAAACATTTCATACACTGTGTCTTCATTTCCCCTTAATCAGACCTGGCATTTATCTAAATTTATAGTTGGCCCAAGTCAGCATTAGCTAATATCTAAACGTAATTTATTGTTATCTGAGTCATTTTTAAGGTTACTATGTCTTTTGCCTTTCTTCTACTGACAGCACTACACATTAAAACATTTCAAATACTCATCTTTTTCATTGTAGCCATAGCCATAAATCATAAAACATATTTAACATGTGCTATTATATTGATGTTGGAGAATTATATCTCTAGGCACAGATGACTTTCCTAAGCTGCAGATCGGAACACAGGACACATCATCATGTGACACTTTTTGGAGTGAGTCCATTAAAACCGATTTAGTTTCTGACTGTAGGCTCATTGATTTCTTTTTTTAGATATTACGTCAAATGAGTGTTACATAAATGTAGGACATCCAGCTGTGAATCAGAAAATTTAGTCATATGCCAGTAAAGCCCCTCCCCCCTCTCCCGGTGGCTGTGGTCATACTCTCAAGTCACAGGGGTTTCTCTATTTCATTTTTCTCTGTATATAGAAAAAATGATTTGTGTCTGGTTGACATAATCACTTCACAAATAAAATCTTGTAAAATAAAGAGTTGCAAAGTCTTGTAGAAATAAAATATGTAATATCTTATTTTAGAGTGGTTATTCAAATCATGTAATTGTAATTTTTAGTAATTAATAAATTAGTATGTGTTTGTTTGTGATAATTCCTTGTTCTTAAGAATACACGTATAACTATTTTCTTTTGTTTACAGTTATGCTGTCTTAAGCTACAGAAACTGTAGTCTCGCCACCAGACAATCAGAGATCTCCGCCTTCTTTAGTTAAGCAAAGCATCTAAAGACTGACTTGTGAGTCTACAGAAACTGTTCCTTCACCACAGCCAGAGTTTCAACAGTACGCTTGACAAACTCTGTAAATTGCATCATTACAATCAGGCCAGTGGGGAAACTTTTGTCAACTGGACCACAATGAGAGAGGAAATTAGGTTTTAACACCACAATAATGCATCCAAATTATGGCTTATTATCTGCCAGAGTGACTGGTAGAAAAGACAGCAGCACAGCAAGCTATGGTTAATTCCCCATTCAAATCACATTGTAGCTGCAGAGAGCTCCTGGAGGTAATTCAGGTTTCACTGATGTCTTTCTTTTCTTTAATGACTAATTCATGAGACTAGTTCACTGTAAAGATACTCTCCTCAGCAGCTTTAAGGTACAGGTGGAATCTTTCGAGATAAATAACACAATTACTGTACATCTATCTGGAGGAATGTTGCATTATAAGGTAGATGATGTTGATATACAACTTTTTAAATGTTGGATTACTGAAAGAAATTAAGTTTAGAGACCGACGCTGCTAGCTTGGTTTGCTTTACTGAGGTTCTACTTTTAATAATACACAAAGCTGTTATGGGCAATCATCCTGAAAACTTGTCTGTCACTCTCATCCAGGCTTCATGTCCCCTCTTCTAAATAGGCTAAATTGGGATTGAGCAGTATTGCTGGGTATTGTTTAAAAAATGATGACACCAGTAACAGAATCAGGACCCTCAGATTGATACTGATACCAAGAGAGTACCTCATTCGATGCCTTTTTTTTTTTTAACTTTATTTGATTCCCATAATGAGAATGGAAGCATTCAGTTGCATAAAATGCTACCAGACACCACATGCATGTAGTATAGCCATACTTTGGAACATCTTGGGGACATCTCGGCAAGCTGAATAGGTTCTAGCTGCTGTGGTAATGGGTCAATCACACGTCAAAACCATACAGTCATTTTTTTCTAAAACTGGGAACAGAAACTATTAAATACATATATGGTTTGATTGGAGAAGTTTCAATACTTCTACTGTGTTGTTTCCGTCGATACCTTGACAGGAAACACCACCTAAAAGTTATTTTCATGGCCTAGAAAAGTTCAATCAATATCTGTGAACATGAGCTACTCTAAAGCCAGAAACCAGAGAAGTAAGTCTCAAACTTGTGATGTCATAGGTATAAATTTTGGAGCTGCTCCATAGACAATAAATGGGAGCCTAATTTTGTTTCACAGAATGTTTGTTTTCCTTTGTTATACCCAAGTGAGCCTTATTCTATTGTAGTGTTCTCAGATTTGGAACAGAAAATGTACCCATAAACTCAGAGCCTTTCCCTGGGTGCTCTCAGTGTCATCTATAACAGTGGTTCCCAAATGGTCCAGCCACCGCGTCCAGATTTGTCCTTAGTCATCAGTTCAAGGTCCACACAGTTTCATATATTCAGAATCATACTTGAGGTCAGCCATGTTATCCAGTTAGTTTGCTGTCTCTGTTAAGCAGCGGTCTGTTAGTCACTCACTCTACAGCAGGAAATGGCACTTGACATGTTCATGAGTTACTTGCGGTCCATTCAAAATGGACCCGCGACCCACTTTTGAACTGCAACCCACCAGTTGGGAAACACTGATATATAATATCTTTCCTAATTCATTGTGTATGAGGTAGCTGCAGACTTTATACCCTATGACATCACAAATTTGAGTTTAAACACTCTAGTTTTTGGATTTGGGAGAACTGTTCATGTTTACTTATGGTGTTGGACTGTCTTAGACCATAGGAATAATATGTATGAATTTTGAAAACAGGTGAAGTTCCCCATTGAAGGTATCAGAACCTATAACCAGCCTTACTGAGCTATTTTATTGTGTCCTTCAACTACAGTCCTTCCTGTGGCCAACAAAAACTCTGTCTGACTACCTCCAGCCTCTCGTTTCCAAAGTGTCTTCCCTCCCTTGTGTCCACTATCCCCCACATTGCCTGCCATTATTTTGGCACTACATTTAGTCCTTGAAACACACATCTGGCACAAGGCGGTCAAAATTGGAAAGAAAGAAAGATTATTTGTCACCAGTAACCTACACCCATCCACTAATCCCTCCTCTGTACTGCATGTGTCACTCCTACCTGAGTCAAACACCTATTCTTTAAATATTTTCAACCCATCCTTTCTGACATCACCACTCATGTCCCACACATTCAGAAGCTTCCTGCATTGTTATTCTATCCAAGCTGCTCTCTCTTTCCCTGCATTCACGCTATTGTTCACTTGCTCTATCGACAGCTGCCAAGCCTCATATTAGTAGCACTGCCTCTCAGCCTATCTTCTCTCTTGTCCAAGTCCAACTGCCTAAAGCTGTTCCCAAAGGGATCCTGTTGGTTTTTAAAGTCATTTGACAGTTTCCTTGTCTTTCCCTGCTGCTTAGGTGTTTTGGTCCACCAAGAAAACCATGAGAAGTCAAACTCCAGCAGCAGGTGCCTCTGACAGCCTCCGCTCATATGGGGGGGTCTAAAGTGATAAAGCTAAGCTTCACTCTGATATCATGGCTGAGAGCGAGGCTAAAATGGCATCTGTTAATAAGCTGGTTGAGAAGCAGGCTGTGCAGGGAGGCATGATGGCTTCCACCACTGCATCTGTGCTCTTCCCTGTTGCAAAATTACCCATAACCAAACAATAAAAGTCCTTGTCTATTTCATCATCTCCAAATGAAGGAATGCCCTCAGTCCTCTACTGTGCCCATGATACTGTCAAAGTAGGCTACACTCTCTCAATCAGCAGCATCTTTTTGGGGAGGATTGATGACCTCCTCTAACTCATGCCACCAGATGAACGTGTTTCATTTATTTTCTCCATAGTCTTAGTCACTTTGGAGGATCTAACAAGGGACTCCTTCACTAGCCCTGACCTAACTCATAAGCTTCTTTTACCTTCTGCTCTGACCCCAACAAAGAGTAGATACTCGGTGGCTTGACACAGTGTTATATATACATTATCTGCTCAGTTTAAACTACAGTGGTGGGCCCAGTCTCGGAAACCATCGGCTATTGTCTGACAACGAACTACCCTCTGGGAGCGAGGGCCAATACATTTAGCTGATCTTATGTAGCAAGGTGGATCCAAAACGTCCTCCTCTGAGAGCCATCATTTTGGCTAATCTCTATAACCAAATATCTGCATATGAATGCAGATACATTATTGAAAAGCTAATATAAAGCTAAGTCATCGTCAGATGATAGTCAGTGGGTTCTAAGATTGCATTTCGGCCAGTGCATTCCACCTCTCCACACAAACTTTTTACCTGCTGGTCAAACTAGGGATAGGCTATGAATGGTTGGTTAAATGGTAACCGCTAAGAATATTTTTGACTGTTAACACATGTCAGCCTGTACATTTTTGCTACTCGCCAGTTTACTACACTGTGCGCCACCCGGATCTGGTGGGAGACAGACAACCAGTTAGCTGTGTTAAAATGCTAACACAACGAATAGTGCCAACTGCCCAAATTTTGGTCACCACTGGTTAGCTAGCCTTAACTGCTATGCACTGTGCACCAGACAGGTCAGGTGCGAGCTAGCTAGCGATGCACTCATTCGGTGATTACCGCTAGTAACGCCGTCCTGACCCAACAGTGTTGCTATGGAAACATTGTACCCACCCTCCGATCTCCCCCCAGGTTCTGGTAAGTAGAGACCAAGGGTGGCCACTATGTTTCTGCAGCAACATCGTCCAGCCAGCGGGACGGCATTACCAGCAGTAATTCATGCGAATTCATGAGTGGTGCTGCTAGCTAATATTAGTTCCCACCCAACCCAGCTGGTGCACTGTGCAGAGCAACCAAGGGTAATGTTAGCTTAGCAGTGGAGTCCGGAGGGTGGACGGTGAACACTTCATGTTAATGCAGCTAGCCAGCTGTCTGTCAGCAAAGGCAATAGAAAATAAAATAAAAGCCAAGACCTTTACATTACAACACACTGAAATTTTACCACCTCTAAACAGATAGCACTTTGAAGTGGGGTGCTTAAGCTCACACTGGGTCAATGGAGAGCTGGACCTAAGGGAAAGGCCTCCTGTATTTCACATCATTTTCAATTTTTTCTTAAAAATTAACAAATTAGTAACGATTAATAGGTGGTGGCTATCAAAAGCAAAAATAGCAGTAACTGACATCCCTAGTTCAAATGTGATTGGCCAAAATTACTTGTACTACAAACAGACTACAAAAGATCTTGTCCAGTTGCCTACAGATTCTGATATGCAAAATCTGTTTATAGAGATTATGGCTGGCCTAACTGTCCAACCACCATCACTGTGTAACTGTTTCCACTATTTTCACCAGTAGCCACTAACTAGCAGCCCATCTGGTATGAAAAATGTTTCTTGAATTGTGTCCCTTCCACCTGCCTCAAGGAACATGGTATCAAATTGAATTTGTGTGAATGTTAAGAGTGCAAGCCAGTCTACAGGGTCATCAGGTGGGTGTTCCACAAACCAACCAAGCCTCTTCAGCTAACTCATCCTAGCAAGCAGCTCACCACCTGCTCACCATACACCTCTGTCTAAGCATCACGAGTTAACATTACAAGCTTCAAGTTTAACTTGAGTTAGCTGTATTTTGCTTGATATTTCTATTCCAGCCACTTTATTATCAAACTCCACTAGATTAAGGCAAATATTGTAACCTACTTTACAACATTTTTTGACAGATTTATATACTACTTTTCAAATAAAGAATTTACATGAAAATTTATGATGGATGAAATGAGTTGCCCCCAGCCATGTAAATGAAACTTATAGGTAATGATCCATAGCCTAATGCAGGCTGGTGGCAGGCCTAGTCACATACGCACTTCTGCATTGAGTAGCCTACTTTAATAACTTGTTAAGTGCATTTTGCTGAGAATACCTTGGTACATTTACTTTTGAAAAACATGCTCAGTGCAGGTCTTTTGCTTGGACTATTTAGGAGTATTTTCAAAGGATTTGAATATTTGCTCCCATTCAACAAAAGTGGAAGGATTCAAGGAAACCTGCTATTAACAACTTGCAGCCATTTTTCAGTTCATATTAATCATGCCAGTGTTAATATAGCCATCAGTTAGTCACCTTGTGCCACTGTCTGCTATGGAACCAAACACGTGGTGGAGCTCGCGGGCTGCTCTGGAACACTGAGCTCGCTCGTTCTAGAACTGTCTCCGACCGCCTCGGTCTGTTGAGTGCTTGTGCACACGCCCGTGGAACGCGGGTGTAACCTTACGTCACGAGAAAGGAAAACACGCGATGTTTGAAGACACATCAACGCATCTGTCTTTAACGCTGGAGTTAACTATTTAGGTTTCAATATCAGTTTTGCCGGGCACCACAGCTAGGTAGTACTATTATCTAAACCGTGGTCCGACGAGGGAGTTTTATTTGCTAAAACAGTGAAGATGTAAGTGTTGGGTTTACTATGTAGCCGTTAACGGTCGTAGCTAACTAGCTACCAGTCTTGGTGGTAACGTTATACTGAGGGTCAACCAGCTAGCCTTAGCTAACTGAGCTAACGTTAAGCACACGAGTTAGCCTTAGCGGCGCAGTCATACACGGATGTCAATACTAAAATCCACTGACAGCTAACTTTCCCTCAACGTAGTTTAATTTGGCACCACCATGCCCCAGAAGATTATAATCTGTAGCTGAGCTAGTTTTTCTTACACCAGCTCCGTTATCATTTGCTAGCAGGCTAATGCCAAGCAACACAAGGGTAACGTTAATGTTGGCACCGAAAAGCGTGGTGTCATGATTAGCTCGGAAGGTTTCACTTAAGCTAACGTAAGCTAATGCCAACTTACACATGCTTGTCAGTGGTACACGTTATACAGACAGCACTCATCCTATCAAATATTGTTCTCACTGCCCTTACCAAATAAGCATACAGTTTACTATTAATGCAACGTTAGCATTACCCGACTCCCTCTCAGTTTGATAATCTAAGTAGCCTATTGCTCTGATACATTTGTACTATCTGTAATGGGAAAGATAGCAGGTGCACCTTTTAGATTAAAGGGTTTGTTCACCAGTTCTTAGGGAAACACAGTATTGTCTTTAGGTAAAGGGGTAAAGAATACTTGGACTTTCATGCTCATCTGAGATGAATGAGTGACGCTTACATGCACTAAACACATGGACCACCACAGTATAATAAATATCCCCTTGATGTAAAAAATGACATGTCCAACCAATGTTAATAAGCAGAACACTCTTTTTCTTAAATAATTAATATGTTACATAACCTGCATTAAATTATGTTGGATAGTATTGTCACATAATCCCTCTTTCTACTCTTTGTCTTTAGGCAGTCTGCAACAGCCAAGTGGTGGGACAGACGGGACACTGTTTTTGTAGAGTTCTGCGTGGAGGACAGTAAAGATGTGAAAGTAATTTTTGACAAGTCCAAATTTGAGTTCAGGTGAGTTACATTTGTAGTACATTAAAGGGGAATATTCCTTATTATCTTCCCAAGAATCCTCTTGAAGAAAATATGAGCCTGTTCATGGTATATGAACAGAATGACAACAAAAGTAGTTGGCAGTTGTAAAGGAAATATAATGGTCTGTTTTCTTTTCCCCTTACAGCTGTGTCAGTGGAGCAGATAATGTCAAACAGCATAATTCAGTGGAACTTTTTGGGGAGATTGACCCCAAAGTACGTTTGTTACCTGTAGACAAAGTTGCAGTTCTACCATGTATTTTTTTTCCTTTAAAGCCTTCATCAAACTCTCTCTGTTCCACACAGGACTCCAAACACAAACGCACTGACAGATCTGTGTTGTGTTGTTTACGAAAAGCAGAGGCTGGGAAATCATGGCCGCGACTTACCAAAGACAAGACAAAGGTAAGTTTCAATATAAAAAAAACAACAACTTGTCAATGCCTAGATATTAATCACGTGGCAGTACAGTTGCAAACCAGGTACTGCCAGTTTACGCTGATTTATTTAAGATGCATAATAATAAAACTTGCATCTGACTGCCTTGTTCTGGTAATTATGACTAAAGGCATGGAAACTCTCAGATAATTATATACTACCTTTTAAACAGCTAAATAGATATCAGCATTAAAAAACACAGCTACTGATTACATGTAAAACATTGCCTTAAACACTTAAATCTATCTTCACTTAGTGCAACTGGCTGAGTGTGAACTTCAGTAACTGGAAAGACTGGGAGGATGAATCAGATGAGGACTTGTCAAGTTTTGACAAATTCTCAGAGGTAGGTGCATTAAATGTACACAGTGCCTGAAGTGAGTATGGGTCCAGATATACTCCAGTGCTGACATGTTGATTGTTGCCTCCTGTGCATTTCTCCAGATGATGAACAACATGGGAGGGGATGATCTACCGGATTTAGATGGTGCAGAAGAAGAGGTATGGGTGTTTTTTTAAGCACATATAGTACTTTTCTATATGCTTTATACTCTTAATAACGGATAAGGGGTGTTTTGTAAAATTTTATCCATTTGACATGAACCAGGTAAAGCAGTGTATGAAAAAGTGTCTTTATTGTTCTTGTTTTATTTTGCA